ATCGGGACGGAAGCGGAAGTAAATATAACAAAATACCTATTAATGCCTAAACTTAACCAGCCATTCCCATAGAATAACCCCAACCCATCCTTAAAGGAATAGTTCACCGTTTGTACATACTGACATATGTTCTTACCTTACCTTAGACTAGTTAATACATACCTGTCTGGTCTTAGTCCGTGCGCTCTGTCATGCAAACGGAGCAAAAACGGGAGCACAACCGCAGCCTCCTCTGTATATTTTGTAGCACCAAAAGGTAGCTCCCGCTAGAAGCTACCAAACTCTTCCAAGTGTTCCCTATTAAATGTATATAGTTACGTGACGTGTTACACTGCAAAGTATAGTAACACAGAAATGTAACAGTCGATTTTCTCAGCGGATAAAACGGGTACTATATTGTGAGGCGTAGTAATCTGAGGTGCGCTACGTCCGCGCACTAACTTCTCTCCGGAGACTTCTCTCTCGCTCACTTCCGTCAATAGAAGCAGCGTGACTTGTAATACACACAGTAGCAGCGAGAGAGAAGTCTCCGGAGAGAAGTTAGTGCGCGGACGTAGCGCTCCTAACTTCTCTGCGCACTAACTTCTCTCCGGAGACTTCTCTCTCGCTGCTACTGTGTGTATTACAAGTCACGCTGCTTCTATTGACGGAAGTGAGCGAGAGAGAAGTCTCCGGAGAGAAGTTAGTGCGCGGACGTAGCGCACCTCAGATTACTACGCCTCACAATATAGTACCCGTTTTATCCGCTGAGAAAATCGACTGTTACATTTCTGTGTTACTATACTTTGCAGTGTAACACGTCACGTAACTATATACATTTAATAGGGAACACTTGGAAGAGTTTGGTAGCTTCTAGCGGGAGCTACCTTTTGGTGCTACAAAATATACAGAGGAGGCTGCGGTTGTGCTCCAGTTTTTGCTCCTTTTGCATGACAGAGCGCACGGACTAAGACCAGACAGGTACGTATTAACTAGTCTAAGGTAAGGTAAGAACATATGTCAGTATGTACAAACGGTGAACTATTCCTTTAACCCTAACCTTAACCATCTTACTTAAACACCTAAAACTTAACCAGTCTCCATTTAAGGACGAATTAGTCTAAAATTAATTTGAAAGTAGGATTGTTACTTCCGGTTTCGTCCCGATTCCTTCTATGATCTAGTGCCGACCATTTGGGCATCGTCTCCTCCCGGTTCTGTGCAGTGGATGATCTCCCATAATGCATTGCACCAAACACACGTGTGTGGGTCTCACACCGGGTCTCACGCACGTGCACAGAGGGGCTCGGCCGCGCTCTGACCAATCAGAGCAGTTCATCAGAGCGGGAGTTAGAGCGAGAACCAGACAAGGGACACTAAAATCCCCACAAAATCCGACCTTTATTAAAGCTGTAGGTTCTCTGTCAGGTTCTCTGTCAGGTTCTCTGTAGGTTCTTTGTAGGTTCTCTGTCAGGTTCTCTGTCAGGTTCTCTGTAGGTTCTCTGTCAGGTTCTCTGTCAGGTTCTCTGTCAGGTTCTCTGTCAGGTTCTCTGTCAGCTGAGGTCGCGCTGTTTTAATTTACATTGAGTTCTATGGGGAAAGTTTCTGGGTAGCCCACGTGAATTTAGTCTGGGTCAGTCTGGTTCAGTCTGCAGTACCGCGAGAATCCCCTGAGCACATTCAGCTCCAAGCTAGTAATACCCTCTCCAGTTATTATAATAAATCCATGGTGGGTACAGTGAGGTCAGTGTTGAGACGGCTGCTGTTGCGATTCAGGGCAAACATTAAACCATTTTAAACATGTCCGTCGTCACGTCGGAGGGTGGATTGTCTCTAATGAGGTGTGCTCACTAACAAAGATTTGGACTGATATTTTGTAGAATATGAGTTTTTTGGTGATCACATCTGACCACGCTGCCTTCATCTGTTCTCTTTTGGGCCTAATAAAGATCCCTGAGTCACTATTTGAGATGTCAGAGATCTGACTGGCTGAAATCTGATTGGCTGAGAGCTGATTGGCTGAGAGCTGATTGGCCAAGGGAGGCTTCCCTTGTTCTAAAGATGTGACCTTGTCCAAAGAAAGTTTTCTATGACACAAAGATTGTTATTTAAAGATATATAGGAGGATTTTCTACTTCCGGGTGGATCATCAAGACTATAGGTCCTCCCAACTGTCAATCATTCTGCTGCTCGTCAAATAAGACCAGAGAGTTTTGTTCTTTTCTAAAATGTTAGTAAATCCTCCTAAACCTTAAAGTAGAATAAGTAAAGTCACATCTGTAGCTCTCAGCTCTTATGTGTCAGATATAAATCGTTTTTCAGAGTCACGTGGTCTCTCGCGATACCAGAGCGATGTTGTAATGTAAACCAAAGCGCGCGCGCTCGGTGCACATATGGCTTTGAGGAAGTCACGAATCCACCTGTCGTGAGTCCAGTCCAGTCCGGTCTAGTCCAGTCCGGTCCAGATCAAGACCCAGGCTCCCACCTCCAGCCCCGTGACGTCACACTGCGCTTACACACAACAAGTCATTTATAAATATCCGCCCACGCAACAAAAGGAGCGTGAGAAATGATGCGTGCGCGTGCGTGAGAGCTCCTCCTCCGCGCGCTGACCATTTGTCTTCAGTGTAATGACTCCAGACTCAATTTGGGAAAAGAAATGGGTGAGAAAAGAGTGACGCGATGAGGAACAGAACAGAGAGACGCAGCACTGAAAAAAGGTCTCACTCTGAGGATTCTGGAATTTAATGTTTTAGTTCATTTTAATTCAATATTTTTAAATCACAGCAGATGTTGTGGATGTCATTGATCCAGAACAGTGTATGGAGTGAATGAATAACGACCACTGCATTATTATTATTATTATTATTAACAATATAACAGTGTCTTCACATAAACAAACAAATATTATGATTAAAAATGTCCTGTTTGTGTTTGTGTTTTTTTCTCCTCTTTCATGTTATTTACATTTGAACATTATAGTATTTTATATGTTTGAGGAAACCAAGGGTGCAGGGTTAACGTTTCTCTTGTGTTTTATAATATTTATTGTTTAGTATTATTTAAATGTAACTCAGGGTTTTTCATGCACTATTTCATAATCTACTTTTGTATCTTTTACACTTATTTGTTTGAAATAAACTGTATTATTATTATCATCAGTATTATTATTGTTTTATCTGAACAGTTGAACCTTGGTCTGTAAGAATGCGTTATATAAATACATAAATAAACATTAGTTATATAATATAGTTACAATTAGTTATAATAAAATAAACAACCTTAATGTCATTTACAAACAGGCGTCACATTTTATAATCCAGTTTGACAATGATCTCGAGGACAATCATCATCATTTCTTTATTCAAACTCTAAAGTCTTAAAGTTTTAAGTGTATTTTATTTTCTAGACCACACTGATTCTAAAAGAGGTGAATATTCATCTGTAATAATTGTCCAATAAATGGTTGTTAAACAGTATTTAAACTTAAATCCACAGATTTACATTATTTAGTTTCTCTCTCTCTGGGCCTCCCGAGGTTTCTCCGTGTTTACTGTTGTGTTCTGAAGTCGTTCCTCTGAAGCAGAAAGGTCTAAGGACAGCCATGATCCAAGACGTTCACATGTATTAACATTTATAACATTTATTAACATTTATAACATTTATTAACATTTATAACATTTATTAACATTTATTAACATTTATTAACATTTATAACATTTATTAACATTTATAACATTTATCAACATTTATTAACATTTATTAACATTTATTAACATTTATTAACATTTATTAACATTTATAACATTTATTAACATTTATTAACATTTATTAACATTTATAACATTTATCAACATTTCTGGACCATGGTTCAAATGTGTTTCTGTTTTTCTGTGTTCAAACTGAACTGTGTCAAAACTGTGGCTGAGGAGTTCATGAGGAATCGACAACTCTGTAAAATCCTGCGGGTCCAGGTCCAGGTCCAGGTCCAGGTCTGGGTCCGGGTCCAGCTCTGGGTCCGGGTCTGGGTCTGGGTCAGTCAGAAATACATGGGTTAGATTTGATCGAAGACGCTGTGTTCGAGGTTGGAATCACATCAACAAAACTAAGAATCGCAGATGTTACAAAATCAAAGTCATTTTAGACATATTTTTGTAGTGTGGTGCGATCGCGAGGGGGAGATGTGTGTGCGTGTGTGTGTGTGTGTGTGTGTGTGTGTGTGTGTGTGTGTGTGTGTGTGTGTGTGTGTGTGTGTGTGTGTGTGTGTGTGTGTGTGTGTGTGTGTGTGTGTGTGTGTGTGTGTGTGTGTGTGTGTGTGTGTGTGTGTGTGTGTGTGTGTGTGTGTGTGTGTGTGTGTGTGCGTGTCTCTGTGTGTGTATTTGAGTGTGTGTGTGTAGGAGGAGGGGGGGAGTGCGCGCACACGGGGTGAACGGGAGGTCAGCGGCTCGTCTCACTCACAGCCATATTAAACTGTGTGTGTGCGCGCACGCGTGTGTGAGTGTGCGCGCGTGTACCGGGGAACGATGGAGTGACACGCCTTTTACGGCCGTTAAACAAAAGCCCGCGTGCCAAACTGCGAGATTAATTCGAAAACTTGGCCCACGCACGCGCCCCCGCACGCGCACGAACGCCCTCGCGCTTCACAAAAACACTTTAATGCCGCAAAGAGCCACATCCACATCTCACGCAGAAGCAATGGCAGCAGCAGAATGACCACGCGTCTCTTCTCTCGCTCACGCAGCCCACGCAGCCCTCCGCGTGCGTCACGTCTGCAAACTTTACCGATCTTGGGCGCGCGCAGTTGTTGTCAAAACGGGATGGATTCTGGGTTTTTCTCCCTCCACAGAGGCGTAGATTAGCAGCGTCTTCTGGGGCTGTCCAGGTTTTTTTGTGTTTAAGAATCCGGAGGAAGAACAGGAAGTGTCAGAGGCAAAAACCTGTCGCGTCAGATTTGAAGGAGCTACTAAAACTTTGGTCTTTCCTTTTGCTTTCCTTCCCCGCGCGCAGAGGACACGGAGAGCATGGCACGCCCGGCACCGCGCGTAACAAGGGCGCATTCACGGAACAAGAGGAAGGAGACGTCCTCAAACTACGGAGCGGTGAGTGGACCATAAAACTATAGAGCAGAAGCTTGGACTCATTTGCATATGTGCTGTCAGCGTCTGCGTATTTCTGTGGATGTGTGCGTAAAGACGTGTGGCAGGTGCCTTCTCCGCTCCGTTCCCATAGTGCACCACGTGTTGCAGTCACGTAGCCGCTCTCCCCCCTCCTCCCCCTCCCTCACCCATCCTAACTCTTCATCTGCGCTCCTCTTCCTCACTGACTGTACTTGTGTTGTGCTGGTGTGTGGATATGGAGAGCGCCATTACGCACGGTGCCATGGTGCCTTGGGTGAAGGTTATAGTTCGTGGTTAGGACAGGGGTCAAAGGGCACACTTTCGCCCCCACCTCCCCCCCTCAGTTCTGCATCCAAGAATGGCTTCCTTTGGTGTTGTGTTGCCTTGTTTGTAAACGATATGTTGTTATCTCCCGACAGCTGCTAAGTGACAGTGGGCTAGCATTTTAGCATTGTAGCAGTTTAGCATCTTTATGACGTAGCACGCAGATATTCACCGATATGGACTTGTTTTGGATTCACCCGGATGTAGGACTATACACAGCGTTCACCAAGATTGGATTTTGATGATAAGATGGTGTCATTGTTTTGATTTGCTTTTGCTGCGTCACTTTTACACCATGGCCGTAGACGACGCACCGTAACACAAAACACAAAACACACACTGCTGTGTCCTCGCCCAAAGATAATCCCACATATCCTCACCTTAAGACAGAACAATACAGACAAAGAGACAGAGCTAAAACACGTTGGTTGTTATTATTGCGTTGAAAAGCATTATACGTGCGGTGTACGGGTCCGTGTATCTGTGAAAACCTCTCTCACTTCTTCACAGCCTTCTTAAGAAATGTCCTTTTCACAGTAATCTTTCATTATTGATATTATTATTTGTTGTATATTTATTTAATGGAATCAGCTGCATGTCTCTCTGCAATGGGTGAGGTGGTTCACGGATAAACAAGGAAGGGCCTAAAAGCAGAACTACAAAAATAACATAATTTAATAAATACCACAAAAATGAAAAACTGTAAATACACACAGGTTTAGCAAATCAGAGCAACCAAACAACAACACGGACAGGAAGTAAAACTCACAATAAGAGAACAAAAAATATCGCAGATAAAACCAAATAAATTAACATGAAGTCCACAAAATGAGGCGATATGCGCGATCCACACGGCGCAATTTGGCACAGAAATAATTCAGTTTCAGTTTAGTTTATTTCAAAGGGAACAATGCAATTTAAAAAAAACACATGATTAACTAAAAATGAGTTAAAAAAGCCAGAAATAGCCACGGAGGCTATTTCTCATCTGCAGTCCCCTGGCCGTGATGTTAAAAAGCCATTAAGAGTCAGTTTGTGCGAAAATAAATGTTTAAAGTGCATGTAAAAAGGTTAAAAATATAGTCTCAATATTTATTATGCACAATATCAAATCTACAATGCCATAAATAATTCTTCTATCGTCTTCACGCGCTCACATTTCCCCCCAAAATACCAGAACTCATTCTCTCCCATCTCCCCCTCACAGAGTATGGATTGGACCCATTACGCAGGAACCATCTAGCTTCGTTTCTTTGCGCCTGTCTAGTGTCTTTTTGCATCACAAAAGACGCGCTGTAGATTTTTCACGCGCACAAAGGACCCAAAAGACATTTCTCTTCCCGGTGCCGCGGCCCCGTGGCTTCTTCACCCCGGTCACGAGCATCGTTCTTCACCGGGACTGACAAGCGGAGGACCAGGGCTCACGCACATAATGCCAGCGCTTAACCCACAATATGGCCCCGTGACCCGGAATCTTGCTGCTTCCTCCCGGTCTCGCTTTTCAGTCTCATCTCGGTTTTTACGCTGTTTCCTAAACGTAGATCTCAACGCGTTTTGTGACTGTGCAAATATTTTTAATTAAGGTTCATCAGTTATGACGTTTCTCGTGTTTATTTTGGAGACTTGGTAATTTCATTATTTATTATCAGTATTGTTTCATGTTGATTTCATTCATATTATGAAAAAATGTGACTGAACAAAGTAGCTACTATTTTTTTGATTCTATTTGATTTGATTTGAGGTTTTTCGCATATATTTATTAATCACAGACCTTACTTTTTTATAAATGTGAAAGACATGATTTTTGCATTTTTGTATTTTTTTATTCATGGGTTATAAGCAATTAGCATTAGTCTACTTTACATGTCTCTGTTTGGGCCTATACATTTTTTGGCATTCATTAAATATATATGTATAATCTGAACGTCTGTGATACTGTGGCGTCTGTGTTTTCTTAATACTGTGTGACTTTCTGCTCTTTTTATGTTCAAAAATACTTTAGGACGTAGCCTGTATTTTTAGTTAATATCATGTGTTGCAGACCTTTTTAAATGTATGCACGTTTTTTTGGACTCCTTTCGTGTGTTTTAGTCCCTTTCGTAACCTGCTCTAGACTTGGTCCAGACCTGCTCTAGACCTGGTCCAGACTTTTTAACACGCACTCGCGGTTGTTTGCCTCAGTCCGTGTTTTTATGACTTTCACGGAGCCACATTTCACATCCTCGTCTCGTGTTTGAGCCAAACGGAAGTGAAGGCCATAAAAGAGTCTGTGTCTGCCTCTGCCTCTGCCTCTGCCTCTGCCTCTGTCTCTGTCTCTGTCTCTGTCTCTGCCTCTGTCTCTGTCTCTGTCTCTACCTCTGCCTCTGCCTCTGCCTCTGCCTCTGTCTCTGTCTCTGCCTCTGTCTCTGCCTCTGTCTCTGTCTCTGTCTCTACCTCTGCCTCTGCCTCTGCCTCTGCCTCTGCCTCTGTCTCTGTCTCTGACTCTGTCTCTGCCTCTGCCTCTGCCTCTGCCTCTGTCTCTGACTCTGTCTCTGCCTCTGCCTCTGTCACTGTCTCTCTGTCTCTGTCTCTGTCTCTGTCTCTGTCTCTGTCTCTGTCTCTGCCTCTGCCTCTGCCTCTGACTCTGCCTCTGCCTCTGCCTCTGTCTCTGTCTCTGTCTCTGACTCTGTCTCTGCCTCTGCCTCTGTCTCTGTCTCTCTGTCTCTGTCTCTGTCTCTGCCTCTGTCTCTCTGACTCTGTCTCTGCCTCTGTCTCTGCCTCTGTCTGTCTCTGTCTCTGTCTCTGTCACTGTCTCTCTGTCTCTGTCTCTGTCTCTGTCTCTGTCTCTGCCTCTGCCTCTGCCTCTGCCTCTGTCACTGTCTCTCTGTCTCTGTCTCTGTCTCTGTCTCTGTCTCTGCCTCTGTCACTGTCTCTCTGTCTCTGTCTCTGTCTCTGCCTCTGCCTCTGCCTCTGTCTCTCTGTCTCTGCCTCTGTCTCTGTCTCTGCCTCTGTCTCTGTCTCTGTCTCTGTCTCTGCCTCTGTCACTGTCTCTCTGTCTCTGTCTCTGTCTCTGTCTCTGCCACTGTCTCTCTGTCTCTGTCTCTGTCTCTGCCTCTGCCTCTGCCTCTGTCTCTGTCTCTGCCTCTGCCTCTGCCTCTGCCTCTGCCTCTGTCTCTGTCTCTGTCTCTGCCTCTGCCTCTGCCTCTGTCTCTGTCTCTGTCTCTGTCTCTGTCTCTGCCTCTGCCTCTGCCTCTGTCTCTGCCTCTGCCTCTGCCTCTGCCTCTGCCTCTGCCTCTGCCTCTGCCTCTGCCTCTGTCTCTGTCTCTGTCTCTGTCTCTGCCTCTGCCTCTGCCTCTGCCTCTGCCTCTGTCTCTGTCTCTGCCTCTGCCTCTGTCTCTGTCTCTCTGTCTCTACCTCTACCTCTGCCTCTGTCTCTGTCTCTGCCTCTGCCTCTGCCTCTGTCTCTGTCTCTGCCTCTGTCTCTCTGCCTCTGCCTCTGTCTCTGCCTCTGCCTCTGCCTCTGCCTCTGTCTCTGACTCTGCCTCTGCCTCTGCCTCTGCCTCTGTCTCTGTCTCTGCCTCTGCCTCTGCCTCTGCCTCTGTCTCTGCCTCTGTCACTGTCTCTCTGTCTCTGTCTCTGTCTCTGCCTCTGCCTCTGTCTCTGCCTCTGCCTCTGCCTCTGCCTCTGCCCCTGTCTCTGCCTCTGCCTCTGCCTCTGCCTCTGCCTCTGTCTCTGTCTCTGCCTCTGCCTCTGCCTCTGCCTCTGCCTCTGCCTCTGCCTCTGCCTCTGCCTCTGCCTCTGCCTCTGCCTCTGTCTCTGTCTCTGTCTCTGTCTCTGCCTCTGCCTCTGTCTCTGTCTCTGTCTCTGTCTCTGCCTCTGCCTCTGCCTCTGCCTCTGCCTCTGTCTCTGCCTCTGCCTCTGCCTCTGCCTCTGTCTCTGCCTCTGCCTCTGCCTCTGCCTCTGCCTCTGCCTCTGCCTCTGCCTCTGCCACTGTCTCTGCCTCTGCCTCTGCCTCTGCCTCTGCCACTGTCTCTGCCTCTGCCTCTGCCTCTGCCTCTGCCTCTGTCTCTGTCTCTGCCTCTGTCTTTGTCTCTGCCTCTGCCTCTGCCTCTGCCTCTGTCTCTGTCTCTGCCTCTGTCTCTGTCTCTGCCTCTGCCTCTGCCACTGTCTCTGCCTCTGCCTCTGCCTCTGCCTCTGCCTCTGTCTCTGTCTCTGCCTCTGTCTTTGTCTCTGTCTCTGCCTCTGCCTCTGCCTCTGCCTCTGTCTCTGCCTCTGTCTCTGCCTCTGCTCTCTGCCTCTGCCTCTGCCTCTGCCTCTGCCTCTCTCTGCCTCTGCCTCTGCCTCTGTCTCTGTCTCTGCCTCTGTCTTTGTCTCTGTCTCTGTCTCTGTCTCTGTCTCTGCCTCTGCCTCTGCCTCTGCCTCTGTCTCTGCCTCTGCCTCTGCCTCTGCCTCTGCCTCTGCCTCTGTCTCTGTCTCTGCCTCTGTCTTTGTCTCTGTCTCTGTCTCTGTCTCTGTGTCTGTCTCTCTCTCTCTCTGTCTCTGTCTCTGTCTCTGCCTCTGTGTCTCTGTCTCTGTCTCTTTAATGGAACAATGGAAATACGAGACCAAATCAATCCAATATTGATTATTGGCCTTTGACTTTTTACTAAGTTATAAACCTGTAATTAACTTTTGTTCGTTACAATCTGGATATTATGCATTATTGGCGTTTATGTTTAAAAACATATATTTATTTAAAGACAGTAAATGTATAAACGGCAGAAATCACAGGAGAAAGTCAGTGTGTTGTGTACAGCACTTGCTCTACGCTGCCGACTCATTCACATTCAGCAGATTTGGAGAATAACAGGGATCCTCTTTGAATGAATAAAGTTTGTTTATTTAAAGAGACAGTTACATTAAAAAGAATTCTCAAGATTTAGCCTCATGCTTCCACCGTGCAGTGGGAAATAATAATAATAATAATAATAATAAAGCAAATTTTCCGGACGCTCA